CTGGAGAAGGACATCATGTTGGTAAAGTGGAGGGTCAGAGAAAAAGAGGAAGACCCCCCAGCAATATGGATTGGCAAAGTGGCAGCATCAATGGGCTCAAGTGTGGCAACAACTGTGAGGTTGGCCCAGGACCGGGCAGTGTTTCGTTTTGTTGTACAGAGGGTCGCTATGAGTCGGTACTGACTCAATGGTACCTAACAACAACAACGTAATTTGAGACCAACTTGACTGCACTTAACAGCAACATAAACTAAAACTGACTCCAGAATGGACTAAATTGTGTCAAGACACCTCCCTCCTCAGATAGTCACCATTTCTTGCCTCTGGAGGGTTTCAAGGGGAGAAAAGGCTGCCATTAAATATTGCCAGGGTTCTGCACAGTATCCTGGTCTCCTTCCCCTTTCCCCACTTGAGGCATGGTTCCCCCTGCTGGCCACCAACTTCCCTTACAACAAAGGCATCCGTGCTTTAGTACCACCTGAAGAACACACCTCTGTTCTTAGTTGGATTGGCTAGAAATCTAGGAAATGGGAGGAAGGTGGAAATGGGGAGAGAGGCTGTGTGCTGATGACCAAGGGGCAGGCTTGCATCGTATACCCTTTGGTTGGCTGATGTTGCATGGAAGGGATTGTAACTGTGGCAATGATAGGATGAATGTAAAACTAATGTTCTCCCTTGTAAACTATCACATAACTTACAATAAAACATTTTAGAAAAAAAGAGAGGGCATATGATAAGAACACCCACTTGACCTGGCTTCAATGACTGGATGATCAGAGCTCAACCAGAAAAAGAAAGAAGAGGGAAAAAAGAGTAATCTGAAACAATTTGACGAACTTTACCTACACTTATGGATTCAGTAGCTCAAAAGAGGGAGCAAATCTTTACAGCAAGGATCATTCCCAGCCCCTCCAAACATAGATAGACAGGGATGGGCAACTTGGACATTGGCTACCCAAAGTGGGGGGCGGGGGAGGGAGGGCTACAAAGGCAAGAAGTGACTGGCTTACAAGCTTTCAAGAGGGAACCTAGTTCCAGAGGGCGTGGAGGAGGGTAGAATCTCCACTGAATAGTATCCAATCTGTCTAGGCAGGGCTAATGAAAGGAAATGCAGGTAGGTCTCTTGTGATACAATAGTGAATAATTGTTATCAGGACTGATTGTGAGGGTTGGAAATGTAAAGGTAGACATTTCGTAGCAAGAAGGGAAGTGATTAAATTTGCAGTCTAGGAGCAGAGGTCCCTGGAACCATCAAGGGAGAAAAGCAGAGAGTGGGACCCTACCCAGAGAAGAAATGACGCCAGAATTGGAGGCAGAGATGATGACGTGGAGAGATGGAGCGGCTGGGGACTTCAGACCCAGAGAGGGAGAGGGGCTGTGTGCTGAAGACCCGGGGAGGGGTAGGCAGGCTTGCAGGGTATACCCTTTGGTTGGTTGATGATGCATGGAGAGGTTTGTAACCATGACAATGAAACGATATAAGATAGGATGAATGTAAAGCTAATGTTCTCCCCTGTAAACTATCACATAATTCACAGTAAAACATTTTTAAAAAATTTTAAACATGAATTTTGGAGGAGAAAGCTTATTTTACACAAGTATTTACGTTAGAATTCCTTTAACCAATGACCATGGTTGTTGTTGTTGTTGTTAAGTGCCTTTGAGTCAGTTCTGACTCATAGCAACCCCGTATAGGGTTTCCAAGGAGCAGCTGGTGGGTTTGAACTGCCAACCTTGAAGTTAGAAGTCCATGAAGTTATCCTACAGTGCCATACCAGTAACCCATGGCTTGACCTCATATTTCTGTAGCACTTGACACTCTTTGGAGCACTGTTACGGATTGCATTATGTCTCCAAAAAGTATGTGTTTTAAATCCTCCCCTCTATGTCTGTGGTTGGAACTCTGGTAGCATAGTGGTTACGAATCAGGCTGCAAACCTCACGGTCAGCAGTTCGAAACTACCAGCTGTTCTGCAGGAGAAAGATGAAGCTTTCTGCTCCCGTAAAGATTTACAGCCTCGGAAACCCTGTACAGTCACTATGAGTGGGAACTCCACGACACATCACAAGAACAACAACAATATGCCAGTGGTTATAGTCCCCTTTGAGAACGGGTGACTTTGTTATGTTAATGAGGCAGGATGACTATAGGGTTGTCTGCAGTGAATCTCTTTTGAGAGATAAAAGAGGTTAAGCAAGGGAGCTTAGAGAGATGGAATAAGAAAATCACCACAGAACCAAGGAATAAGGTTCTTCCACTAAAGCTGTCAGAGAGAAGGGCTTCTGCTACAGTCAACAGCCTGAATTTGCACTTGTAGCCCCTTAAACTGTGAGAAGATAAATTTCTGTCAAAGACGTCCACTTTCAGTATCTTTGTTACAACAGCACTAGATAACTAGGAGAAGCACTTTCCCATCACAATGGGGAAACGATGAAAGACAAACATGGGTGTCCCCATTGGACAAATAAACCTATCATCCCATTCTTCTGCTGTCTAAGAAATGTTCCAGAGATTTACCCATCTTTCCTCCTTTCATAGAACAAAAACCGTATATCCTCATTGAGAACTGACTCTTTCAAGCTCTGAGTATGATTGCTGCTCCCTACATACACACATACACCCCTTCTCCAGAATTCTCCACCGCCATATCCCATCTCACTTTCTTACACGTCCAGTTTTCCCTCTGCTCTGACTCAAGTCAACCAGCACACTTGGGCTCCCCCATTCTCAAACACCCTTCCCTCTCTCATTTCCTCAGAGAAGAGACACTACCTGATATCCAATGGCCTTCAAGGACTCAATCTTCTCACTCCTTGTTTGGTACTTTGCAATCTAGCTTCCCAAACCTAGCCAATAAAATCTAGTATCATGTTTTTTTAACTGTTACAACATGACCACATGGTGCTGCAGGTTAATGCACTGGACTTCAAGGTCGATTTGAACAGCAAGGTTGGCGGTTCAAGCTCACCAGCTGCTTTGAGGAAATCCTATACAGGGTCACTATGAGTTGGAACCGACTTCACAGCACATAACCACCACCACCACTACCACAGTCACATCAGAAGGACATCATGTTTGGTAAGATGG